GATATATGCTGATATGTAATGGTGGTGTATATTGTACCTATTTCTGTATAAAATCCCCTACCCCTCCATAGACACAGACTTGCACCCGTTCACCATCCATGACGAGGACTGTTCAGGACTTTCTCCCCTCCCCCATCCCCATCACTACTGATATATGCTGATATGTAATGGTGGTGTATATTGTATCTATTTCTGTATAATCTCCCCTACCCCTACATAGACACAGACTTGTACCCCTCCACCATCCATGACGAGGACTGTTCAGGACCTTCTCCCCTCCTCCTCCCCATGACTACTGATATATGCTGATATGTAATGGTGGTGTATATTGTACCTAGTCTTATCAAAATTCGCTTTCCAACGATTCCATAGGTTTTTTTTCTGTCACTAGGGCTTCGGAAGAAAGCAAGATATTGGGCATTTCGACTGATATCTGTATTAAATGTTCCCTTAGGAAACATGTTCTGAAGCAGAAGGATAACGCTAACGTTTCTATGACGGCCCTGGGTAAATAATGGAGCTACAACAGGTGTTACTGCATTGGGGTCCCTGTGGGTTCGTTGGTTCTCTGTGGTCTGTGGCACGCATGCGTAGCAAGTAGAGCGAAAARGCGGCCACGAGGCCACAGAGTTTTTCACCTTTGAAGATCACTTTAAAGATCCCCTTTTTAGAGAGATTTTTCTGAAGACTTTTACGGGAATTTAAAGCTCTATTCAATGACTATAAGGCTCTTTATGTTCTGGTATCTTACGTTTTCGTCAACGAGTTGTAAACGCCTCATTTTATCGTGATTAAAGTTGTTGTTATAGCCGCCTATCGTTACAACAGGACTGTCTATCGCTTCGGCCATCATATCATCTAGTATGATTATGTTGTTGTACTTGGTATTAATCTCATTTAAATCCTCAGAAAGCTCAGGAAGACCCCGTCCCAATCAAATCCTTTTTCCCAATGAGTCTTTTAAAGTGCTGTAASCATCTTGCCATTGATTATAGCACAATAGGATGCGGATATTTTTCTGCTCTTCAAACACGATACGATTCTTTTCTAAGTATCTGTTGGACGAAATAGGTTTTACCGCCAGTCCACTCTCGCTACCACAAAAAGAAGAGCTCAAACGTCTGTTTTCTAATGGTAGCCGATAGCCTGATAGCCAATAGCCGATGGCCGATCGACCCCACATCGACCCCTCATCGACCCCACACTTACCTACAAGCATAAAAGAGACTGTCCTGTCCTAATCTTAAGTTTATGAGGTTCATTTACGTCAAGTACATAACCTTTATGGGGATGCAAGGAAGAAGTGGTTAGGAAGGGCAAGGTTCTCAGCACCATTAAACCACATGTCGAGCTTACTACCAGCACGGCCAGCACGTAGTCTAAAAGAAATCAGATGCGTTCGAAAGATAACAAACTTCACATAGTCAAATAATTAAGAACTTGATAAAAGTTGAAAGAGCAAATAAAATAAGAGGGTTACAGAATTCACTGAGGAGTGAGATCATAATATAAAAATGCAGCTACAGCTTTTTTTGGTAAAAAATTTTTAATAATAGCTTACGTGCGATCCATAA